CTAATAAAAAAAAATATATACTGGGCGTCATTTAGAAATTGTGTTTTATGAAATAATATAAATGGTTTCAAAATAACGCGCACCCCGTTTAAGGTGTCAACCAGGCTAGAAGTAGGTGCATAGTGATTTGAGAGCCAGGTTCGGTAAAATTATTTTTGTTTCAAATAACACCTATGCGTGACGCGTATATACTCAAAATAATGCGCAGGTGGGCGTTATTTCGCATATATTCTTGGGTCGAAATTTGAACAGCCTTTGGAAAATATGATTATCAACGATATAACTTAAAATTGATTCTGAATTTTAATGACCATTTATTAAGAGATTACTTATATTTTAATGAGATTTCTAGTGAGATACATTAAATATGAATGATGATGATAAAAATATTGAATTCATAAAATTCACAAATCTACTTACAACATATATCAGAATCGGATAAAAATAATCTAATTCAACTTTAATTCAAATAAATGTAATATATATATAGTATCACTTTTATTTTATCTAATTGGTTATCTAGTAAATCCTTTTAAAGAGTTTGGATCTGGATATTCGTTTTTTTTTAATATTATACAGAAATGGATATCCGATTTATCCGAATACATATTCTGATATATAGACCCAAGCACCCTTTTTTTTTTTTAATTAACCAAAATATATTAAATTGATATCAAATAATCTAACTCAAATTAAAATATATCGATATAAACATAATAAATATTAAAGCAGATAATTCATACAAAACTACATACCATGTATATATCTACAAAAGTGGGGAGTTATTACAATAATAAAGATATTAAAAGAACCTCATCCATTTATAATAAGTTTAACAACACTTTCCAGGATATTAATACCCATCCCTCTTACAACTTCTTTCTCTGCTAAAAATCCATCAACTAATTTTCCAACCATAATTTTAGAATTTTCATAACCCACCACTTGTCTTAAAGAAGCTGGGATAGCATTTTGTACGAGTAGTCGTTTGGCTTCATCTTTTGTTCGTAATTTTTCTTCTTCACTTCGTTGTGGTGCAGATTCTGCCCATACTCCATTTGGCCAAAATGAGTTTGTAAAACCATCAATCAACGACACCATATATTCTTCGGTGGAAAATGAGTCTATGGTTGTTAGAAAGTACTGCTTTATTGCTTCAGTATAAGATCTTCGTACCAGACCTCTTAAAACAGATAAAACGGTCTTTCGAAGATGCCATTGAGATTTTTCTGACAAATCAAATATTTCTTCAATAGTATCAAAGATTGTATCAATAAGAAGATCAATATCTTGGCCTGTCATTTGTTTATTTGGTCTTGGACGACGAGGGTTTTCTAAAACAGGTTCCTTCTCAGGTGTATCATTTTCAGGTGTATCATTCTCACCAGGTAATGTTATTGATTCATCTGAAGCTGTACTCTCAATACTAGGGCATGTGATGAGTGAGAATGTAGAGGTTGGAGAATTTTTAACGAAAATTTCATCAGATATTTCTTGTGGCCTATCTGTATATGTCGAATCATGATCTGAAGACCTTTCGAAACTAGACTTTGTTGAAGTATTTCCTTGATTTTTAGTAGTATCTTGTGGACTTGTGCCAACAAGATTGACCATAGATATGGACCTTGGAATTGATAATATAGACAGTGCTCTATTTATTTTGCTAGTTGGCTTTCCTATATCATCTTTTGGAAGACCGTCTCTTCTCATAAACTTTTGGAGAGCTTCACTTTCACATAAAGCAATATCACTCAATAAAATATTTAAATATCGTTCTAAAGACAGACAAGCCTCATGGTTCTTTTTTAACATTAAACGTGGCATTGTTACTTTTTCAGCTTTAGGAAATTCTTTTCCCAAAGCTGAATGCATTGCCTCAAAGTCGCTAAAACTTCGAGTCATAATCCATCCTGCGGAACCAGGTTGTTCAACTTCAATCATATAGGTAAGGGACTTTGTTGAATAAATTAGTCTATTTGAAGACGCTTCAGAAATATCCGTCATCTTTATTCTTACTCCACTAAGGTTCATGATTGGCGTTTTTGAAGGGTCAGGCAGTGATTCCAAATTACGTTCATCCTTTTCTTCTACGAGCGTGTCTACAGAACTTTCATTGGTTCCAAATGAATCCATGAAAAATCCGGTAGTAAATGATCTAAAACGATGTATTATTGGTTCTGTAGATTCGTTTTCGTTGAGCAGTGAATAGTCGGAGTAATTTGGTCGGTTTAAAGAATCAAAGGATGAATTGTCCACTGTGTTATTTCGTTTATAATCATTCATTATAACGGATTTATCTTCTACCCGAGATAGATTTTCAAATTGAGCCGGTTCCTCAGCATACATAAAACTGACATCTTCACCTTGATTTTTCATCGCTTGAATGAAATCATCGAAATATTCATTTTCCAAAACTACGAATACATATTCCTGCAATTTTCTAAAGCAATTACATGTAGGTCCATTCGATATTTCTCTAACACACTGCCTCACTAACATATCATTAACCACTCTCACAGGATATGAAGCAGCTTCACCAAAATAAGTTTTAAAAATTCTCATTGCGTCATTTTGAATCAGTTCTATGTCTGTTTCATTAGCAGCAATTTTCTTGAATGAATCAGCTTGAAGCCAAAATCTAAGTAAATTCGCTGATTTACGTTCTTCCAGAAAAGCCATAAATTCAGCAAAAGAATGTGATTGAAGTTCAAGAATAAATCGTAATTTTTCTGTATTAGCAGAGCGCATATATGAACGACGTGGTGAAGGTGATGATGGTGATGTAATAGGGGTTGCAACTTTTTCAACAGGTGAGAGAGCCTCCGTATGAATTTCAACCGAATGTTTCAGTTTTTTATCTGAATTAGTAGAATTCATAGATGGATTATATGGCGAGAATGATGGTGATGTAGTAGGGTGAACCTCCGCATGAATTTCAACAGAGTTTTTTCGCTCAGAGTCAAAATCAGGGGACATATTTGTTTGAGATAATGTAGTTTTTATAGTCAAAGGTTGATTATTTGATATTGATGCTTGATAACCATCCGATGGTTCATTAAATTTATCTGTCAGACCGGCAACTTCTTCGTCTATCGAAGTTGCTAGTTGGTGAAAAAGGGTTTCCTCATGAGTTTCCCCTGGATCACTATCCATTAAATAATCAACAATGGTACAATTCAACCAATCTGAATCACATATTTTTTCGAGTATTGCTTCAAAAACTTGAATAGCCCATAATTCAGAAAGAAACGCCATCAATATATGACTATGAGCCTCATTTGATGGTAAAAGACGGGTCATTAATAATTTAGATAAGGAACGGAGTACATGTGCTTGTGATTCTCTATTTGTGGTATGAGCAAGTAGAGATGTTTTATTTTCTGAGCAATAAGTACTCAATGATTCATTTGTCAAAATAAATTTTTTATATTCGCGCTATTGAATACCAAAAAAAAAAAAAAACAAAAAAAAAGTTAAAGGCCGAGATAATTAATAAAAGAATATATATATATATATATATTAATAAATGCATACCAAATGGACAATAAAATTGTTTGCAATAGCAAAACTAGACATGATTCCTAA